AGGCAATCCACTCACCTCAGCCTCCCAAAGGCGCAGGATTACTGGCTGAGCCACCGAACCCGGCTAGCATTCTCATTCTTAACAATGAAACAAAGCAAATTTACTCAGCAAAACAATCCCTGAGACTTCATAGTAAATAAAGTTACCTACCAGCAATTGTGGAAGGAAATGCTACGACATGAATTGCTAAATAGCAACTTCCTACTCTACTATCTGTACCGCCCGTTGTTTCTCACCAACAGATGACTGAATAATAACACTCAATTCTTTGGTAGAGAATGAGAAGATTCAGAAGACTGAAGAATCTCATATCGCCTCTACCAGGGTATGAAATCTTGGCATTTCTCTGAATCACACTCAAGTCACAATAGCTTTAACTACAAAATCAAACTTAGTCAATAAAGAAGTGTAATAATACAATAAACTAAAAAATAAATAAAAACTACTTACAGTACTGTAAGTACGGTACTATGCATATATCAATAATTTTGTTACAAATTCTCATGTTTATAAACGAATCTGTAGGCCTACGATCAAATGAGAAAGTCTTGGACGTTCATACTAAACGGTAAACAATTTTTAGAAAGAATTTCAAATACACAGTCCGTTGACACAAGACACCCCAACTCTCTTTTCTGCAAGTAATCAACAGGGCGCATTTCCGGAAACTTAAGCATACACCATTAACTGTAACTTTACAGATTCCACATCAGAGGTAAACCCTTCCGTGTACGGTGATTCCACCTGAGCCCACAGGAGTGTGACATCCACACAGAGGAGGAAATGCACCAGAAACCGTCAGAATAAACAGTGATCTTGCTGCCAGATATTCAGGGTTCATTACCAAATCAACATGCCCTCTCCAATCACAGAATTCAGAAACTTCGTTAAGGGGAGCGGGGAGAGCGGGGGAGGTGGGGTGGGAGGGAGTGAGGGAAGAATCAGAGATCAAGACTTCGGGAAGGGGTGAAGGGATTAAGTTTTTCCTAGAGAAATGAAGGAGAATCTACAGTGACGTTTTAAAGAAACGTTAAGCTAAATTTGAAATGGAGAATAACGAAGGAGTTGCAGCCCTGAGTCAGGATCCTGGCTGTCGACTCGGCACCTCCACGGTGACTCACTGCCTGACTCCCCCTGAATGAAGCACACAGGGCTGGCTTCTCCGACAGAGGAGAACAGAAACACTTCTGAGTGCACTCCTTTTCAGAAGTGTACTGAGGATTAAAAAAAAGGGGGGAGGAGCTCTCAACTTGCCGCCACCTGCAGAAGGGGCGGT